GCCAACTCGGTTATCGGCGGGGTTTTTGGTGCCCGGTTATCGGCCATTCGCTCGGTTATCGACCATTTTGGATGCGTCCATCCACTGGCTGGGGCAGCTTGTGCTTCAGTTTGGCTTTGTCTCTCGGTGGCTGAGGAGGCTTCTGCTCATACATCCAAACATTTCACTTGTTTACCATTGTTTTTAGTGGTTTTTCTTTCAGTGCAACTGTGAAATAAGCAAAGATGGCTCCAAAGAAAGTTCCTAGTAAAGTTCCTGTGGTAAAGAAAGTGAGAAACACCATGGAATTTAAGCATGAAGTGATCGAAAAGTTTGAGAGTGGTATGAAGGTGATGGAACTTGCCAGGATGTACAGCAAGAATAAATCAACAATTACATCCATCCTGGCAAAGAAAGAAAAAATCAAAGACACTAATGTTGCAAAAGGAGTAACTTTTCTAACTAAACAAAGGACACCGATAATAGAAGAGATGGAAGAGTTATTATTAGCGTGGATTATGGAAAAAGAATTAGTGGGAGACAGTGTAGTGGAGTCTATTATTTGTGAGAAGGCAGAGCAGTTGCATGAGAATCTTGCAAAGAAAATGCCTGGAACAAGTGCTGCAGTTTCTGAGTTTAGGGCCAGCAAAGGATGGTGTGATAGATTTAAGAAGCGTAGTGGCATACACAGTGTTGCAAGGCATGGTGAGGCTGCAAGTTCTGACAAATGTGCAGCTGAAAAGTATGTTCACAAATTCCAGGACTATGTAAAGGTTTCGAACCCCAACAAGTTTTCAATTGTGATGAAACAGGCATGTTTTGGAAGAAAATGCCAAACAGGACCTACATTACCCAGGAGGAAAAGGCACTGCCAGGACACAAGCCTATGAAAGACAGACTTACTCTTTTGTTGTGTGGTAATGCTAGTGGGAATTTCAAAGTGAAACCTTTACTTGTGTATCACTCAGAAAATCCCAGAGTGTTTAAGAAAAACAATGTTATGAAGAATAGATTGTGTGTGATGTGGAAAACTAATCATGAGGCATGGGTCACAAGGCAAATTTTCAAAGAGTGGGTTAATGATGTGTTTGGCCCAAGTGTGAAAAAATACCTCCTAGAAAAGAAATTGCCACTCAAGTGCCTCCTGTTACTGGACAATGCTCCTGCACATCCTCCAGACTTGGAAGACCAAGTGTTTAGGGACTTAAGTTTTATAAAAGTGAAGTTCTTGCCTCCTAACACCATCCTCTCTCCAGCCCATGGACCAGCAGGTCGTTTCTAACTTCAAAAAACTCTACACAAAAGCAGTGTTTCAAAAGTGCTTTTAAGTGACCTCGGACACTCAGTTGACTTTAAGACAGTTCTGGAGGAATCACTTCACTATCCTCCATTGCATAAGCCTTATAGGTAAGGCTTGGGAGGGAGTGACTTCCAGGACTTTGAACTCCGCTTGGAGAAAACTGTGGCCAGATTGTGTCCAAGAGAGGGATTTTGAAGGGTTTGAGACTCAGTGACCCTGACCCTGCCGACCCTGTGGGCTCTAGTGTGTCTTTGGGGAAGTCCCTGGGGTTGGAGGTGAGTGGTGAGGATGTGGAAGAGTTGGTGGAGGACCACAGGGAAGAGCTTATTACTGAAGAGCTGCAAGAGCTTCAACTTGAACAGCAACAGACTGCAGCTGAGGAACTTGCTTCAGAGGAGGAGGAAGAGTGAGCGAAGGAGGTGCCTTCTTCAGAGATTAAAGAGGAGTGTGCAATGTGGACCAGGGTGCAAGCTTTTGTAGAGAAATACCGCCCTGACAAAGCTGAAACAAGCCATATCTGCAACATGTTTAGTGACAAAACCCTGTCCCACTTAAGGGAAATCTTAGAAACACCAGAAACAGAGCACTCTGGACAGTTATTTTGTGAGACAGGGGTCCAGTGATCTCAAGCTGGTTCTAGTGGCATTAAAAGACAGAGAAGGGAAGTAACCCCAGAGAAGGCATTACTACCTAAAGTCTTCATGGAGGGGGATTCCCCTTCCAAACACTAACTCCTCCCTCTTTCCTCCTCCCTATCTTCCAGAAGCCAGCATTAGCCTTCAATAAAGGTATGTAATACTTACATAATTGTAAAAAATTATTTTTTTTTTTGTGAATATTTTTGTTGGGAACGAATTAATTTTATTTTCATTAATTCTTATGGGAAATATTAATTTGGTCATCAGCCATTTCGGTTATCAGCTGACCTTCAGGAACGGATTATGGCCGATAACCGGGGGTCCACTGTATCTGTGGAGAAAAGGAACATTATTCATGGAGGCAAAGAAGGGAATGTATAAGAGTATAGTGGTAGCAACACTCTTATATGGGTGTGAAGCTTGGGTTGTAATGTTCCAGCAAGAAGGAGACTGGAGGCAGTGGAGGTGTTGTATCTAAGGGCAGTGTGTAGTGCAAATATCATGCAGAGAATTTGTAGTATGGAAATTAGGAGGAGGTGTGGAGTTACTAAAAGAGGCTGAGGAGGGGTTGTTGAGTGGTTTGGCCATTAGAGAGGATGGAGCAAAATAGGATGACTTGGAGGGTGTATAAATCTGTAGTGGAGGAGAGGGGTAGGGGTTGTCCTAGGAAATGATGGATGGAGGAGGTAAAAGAGGTTTTATACAGAAGTGGCTTGGACATACAGCAGGCATGTGTGAGCATACCATACCACGGACGGGGATAGAACCCGTGATCAGAGAGTCTCAAAACTCAATCAAAACTTGCATTTGTGGTCACAGTGGTGCCTATGCTAATCTTCCTATGATGTAGAAATATACCTAGTTGGACGAATCTTATTGTGGCTAGCTGGTCCAGTGGCTAACGCGACGGTCTGGAGTTTTGAGACTCTATGATCACGAGTTCTATCCCCGTCCGTGGTATGGTTTGTATGCAATCGTTTCATTACGATTTCGTGAGTCATGTTGACGGCTTGGAGGGGACTTGAGCTAGAGTTCATCACAGCCACGCTAGCTGGAGATTCGTCTGTAAAAACTTGCATTTGTGGTCACAGTGGTGCCTATGCTAACCTTCCTATGGTGTAGAAATATACCTAGTTGGATGAATCTTATTGTGGCTATCTGGCCCAGTGGCTAACGTGATGGTCTGGAGTTTTGAGAGACTGATCGCGGGTTCTATCCCCGTCCGTGGTATGGTTTGTTTGCAATCGTGTCATTACGATTTCGTGAGTCATGTGTGAGCATGTTAGATAGTGAGTGGAGATGAATGGTTTTTGGGACTTTATTAACCGTTGATGTGTGAGCAGGGTAATATTTTGTGAATGGATTCAGGAAAACCTGTTAGCTGGACTTGAGTCCTAGAGGTGGGATATTTGCTGTTTGGAGTGACATCTGAACTGCCGTATCTCTGCACCTCTGCAAAGATGAGGGTCTGGGTTCAATTCCTGGTGAGGGTAGAAACAGTGGGCGTGTTTCCTTACACCAGTTTTCTGTATTCCCCTTCAGTAAAATGGGTACCCGGGTGTTAGTCGACTGGTGTGGGTTGCATCCTGGGACAAAACTGACCTAATTTACCCGAAATGCTCTGCATAACAAGCATCTTTATAAAGTGGAACCCCGGTTTTCGTCTTTAATCCGTTCCAGAAGGTCGGCCGAAAACTGATTTGTACGGAAACTGAAGTAACATTTCCCATAAGAAATAATGTAAATTCAATTAATCCGTTTCACACACCCAAAAATATTAACAAAAAATAAATTTTATAGAGAATAACTATAGTTTTACATACACAAAAGAATGAGAAATAAATATAAAGCACTAATTTTAATGAATAAATGCACATTTAAATCAGTTTTACCTTTATGAAAGTTGTTGTTGGCATATGGAAGATGGTAAAGAGGGGAGAGGGAGGAGAGGTTATTGTTTGGAAGGGAAATCCCCCTACATAAGAACTTCAGGTATCAAAGCCCTATCCTGGGTTATTTCCCTTCTTTGTCTTTTATTGGCACTAGGGCCAGCTTGAGAGTCACTGGACCCCTGTCGCACAAAAAATCTATCCAGAGAGGCCTGTTTCTGGCGTGTCTTTAAGATTTGCCTAAAATGGAACACGGCATTGTCATTGAACATGTTGCTGACACTGCTTGCAACAGCTTTGTTTGGGTGATATTTCTCCACAAAACTTTGCACCTCACTCCACTTTGCACAAATGTCCTTAATCGCTGAAGAAGGCACATTCTCCCCTCTCTCTTCCTCCTCCTCTGAAGCAATTTTCTCAGCTAAGGTCTGTTGCTGTTCCAGATGAAGGTCTTGCAGCTCTTCAGTGGTTAGCTCTTCCCTGTGGTTGTCCACCAACTCTTCCACATCCTGGTCACTCACCTCCAACCCCATGGATTTTCCCAAAGACACAATAGATTCCACAACATGTGTAGGGTCGTCAGGGTCAGCTTCTCACCTTCTTTACCAAAGGACTGGCACTAGGAACTTTCTTAGCCCCATGGTGGCTTATTTAGCAGTTGCAAGCACAAAAAAAATGGATTATTATGAAATGTTTTGGGTGAACGCACGGAGTAATACTCACTGTACAAGTAATAAAGGCAGGCTGAGTCACGAATGTATGAGCAGCCGCGTCCCACAGGCAGGCACATGCATCTGGTACTGGCGATTTCCAAGTGGATGTATAGAAACGGGGAAAATTTTGCCAAAAGAAGTGGTTGAGAACTGAATTGTACGATAACCTGACTGGACAAAAACTGGGGTTCCACTGTAGTAGTGTGTCATTGATGTCAGCTAGACCTGTATACCTTGTACATGTAGAAATAAAGATAGCATTATTATTATGTAAATGATTGTGAAAGTGTTTATATTTTGGGTCACCCTTTCTAGGTGGGTAATGGCCACCATCTTGAGAGAAAAAAAAATGTTATACGTGTTAAGGGAGGCCTTAATTTCTTGTGTTACTGCTATATCTTGGTTTGTGTTTGATGTGCATCTGTGTGCATCACTGCAGCAACTATACAATCTACTGCTAGCTATTTTTGTTTTGTTTCAGACCCGTTCCTCCAATACCAACCTCTTTTCCACGGATTGGGACTTCCAGAAAATGGGTATTGGTGGTTTGGATGAAGAGTTTGTACACATCTTGCGGAGAGCTTTTGCTTCCCGAGTTTTCCCACCAGAGGTGACGGAGCAGCTGGGTATTGCTCACGTGAAAGGACTTCTTCTCTTTGGACCACCAGGTATGCTTTGACATAATTTTTAATTGCAAGGTAACTAGTAATGTACTGTGTGCATTATGTTGAAACCTCCAGGATTTGTTTTCTTTTGATAAATGAGATGTTGTGTGGCAAAAATGAATAAGTGCCACCATGGCCAAAATCCAAGTTAGTCAACATGGATCCCTTGGAAATAAATGTTATACAATACCAACACAATACAAAATAAGCACAAATGCAGTATAATGCAACCTTTTATTAACTATGTTTCACCCACACAGTGGGCTTTATCAAGTCCCAAACAGATCTTCCTGAGCAGAGAGTACATGAGTATATATAGGACACACAGTGATGTGAAGAGTGGGGAATGTTGGGAAGAGGTTGAAAAGGATTTATACAGAATAGGCAAGTAAGTTTGTTGATATGCATGATAATGATGAGGATTCCTGGTAAGGGGTTCAGCTGAACCCTTTGTCAGGAAACTTCATAGATTTATAGCTCTGATCCTCCCCCATGCCTGCATTTTTCTCCATTGTTTGAATTTGGCACTTATTCTTTTCTGCCAAGCAAAGCTTCAAATAGTCTCAGTATTGTTTATTTTTTAAGATATTAACTGTCTCCCACCGAGATAGGATGACCCAAAAATGTAAAAGCATTCACAGTTTTTCATTCAGCAGGCTTCTTGCCAGAAGTGCACAGCCATCACTGTTCAAGTGACCCTCTGAGCCTTGCCCCTAATTCAGAGTGCAGGCACTATACTTCCCACCTCCAGGACTCAAGTCTAGCTAACCAGTTTCCCTGAATCCCTTCATTAATGTTACTTTGCTCACGCAACAACTCTTTAAGCCACTCACTTTGATCTGGCATATTCAAATAAGTTTGTTGGATGTTCTAGCCCCTATCGTTCAAAACCTTTACCCCTTCCCTCCAACCCTTATTCACACTCCCCCACCCTTCCACCCCAGATTTCATACACCTTTTTGGTCATCCTCTCTAAATGCCCAAACTACCTCAACAACCCCTTTTGAGCTGCCTGAATTATACTTCTAATCTCCACACTCCTAATTATCTGCATAATAAACGTACCACACATTGCTCTCAAAGTGACATCTCCATTATATCCAGCTTTCTTCCTTCTTCGATGTTTAAATCCTATTCCTCACTCCCATATAAGCGTTGGTGCCATGTTACGCAGAAATGTGGGATAGCTGGGTGCTTGAGCCTTGTTTAAGGGCAAAGGTAAAAGTTACACACATCTCAAGCATAAACAGGCCACCCAGGGCTATCCCAGTCAAAACAGAAAGCGCTAAACCAGTAAGTGTTACTTCAATGGGTTGGTTAACAGAGGGTTAGGCAAAAATCCCAGTTAGGAAAATATATCTATTTATTCAACATAACACTATATACACACTCTAGAAACACCTTAATCCTAAATGCCCAAATGAGGGTACACAAGAAACAGCTGGCTGGAGGTCCAGCCACCATAACCACTAGGCCTAGTCAGCGCCAGGCCGTCACTACTCCACTACCAACCCCATTTCTTATTTCCTCACTCAATCCCACAGCACCCTGACCATGTCAGAGCCTAGGTGGGCATACAGGTAAGCCATAGAAGAGCCTATGGCTTGGGTTAGCTAAACAAAAGGAGTACACAACTACAAACTTAGCTTAAATACACAGCATCTCCAACGCCAGCCTCCACACCATGCTGACCCCACATGACTACCCCAGCCACGCTTACTCCGCGTACCCAAACACACTTGGAAAATAACTACCTAGAAGGATTTCTTTATAATTACAGTTAGAGTACTTTACAGTGCCCCCAAATGCACATTATGAATTATAAAATTATTCTTTACAATTATAGCATTCATACTATTATGACACTCTTCTCTACTGTATATACATTACAATGTCATGCAGAACCCTGCATAACACCCCCAAGCCCAGACCATAGGTCTCACTCTGCTAGCGGGGTCCCTACGGACACCGCTAGGCAAAAGGAAAAAGAAAGAATATAAATCCCACATTAAGGTGTGAGGCAACAGGCAAAAATGATAACTGGGGAATGACCACCATACAATCATGGTCTTTTGGTACTACAAATATGCAATATTAACAAACTGAGGTACTAGATTGCAGACATGTGAAACTCGTGGAACATAAAAGTGATCAAGTTCTATGCCAAACGAGCCCACAGTCACACTCTTAGACAATTGTGTAAGAAAAAGGCACCATCACAACACAGCGCTGGCCAGGAACTGGCGTTGATGCATTTTACCTAAATTACATCAAGCAAACTTATAAACGAGCAAGTTAACTTTGTACAAAAGTGTCCCTGAGGAATGCCGTTTTATAAAGTAACACTAAAGCTCAGTATGTTGCAAGGCAGACCAAACTGTATGTGCCACCAAAAAAAAATCTTTTAACCCTTTGACTGTTTCAGGCCCCTCTCTGAAACTGTCATTCTATGTCGCCAAATATTAAAAAAAAAAAATTATTTTTTCTTATGAAAATGTTAAGATTATTTTTCTGAGTGTTTTAGTCCCAAAAAAAATTTTTTGCCATCGGTACTTACCGAGATATAGAGCCGTGAAGTTTGCAGAAAATGAGCCGCGTATGGCAACAGCGGCGACTGCCGCTCACCCGGTAAACTTTAGTTTACTTGTAATTGAAGGTTTTTTGTTTTTTTCACATAACTTATGTGGCCTATGAGACCCAAGTAAGGTGCAATGTACATATATACACTCGTTGTATACAACACATTATAACACACAAACATAATTATCGGTATATTGTTTACATAAACTTGTTTACAAAAACAAAACAAACAATCATCCTCCTCCTGACGTCCACACTCGACCTCCTCCTCCTCCCACCCATTCCTTCCTCTGCCTCGCCTCACTACTCCTCCCGAAACTCCTCCTACCCTTCTGCCCCTCCTTCCCCCTCCTTCTCCTGTCCAATCAGTACCATACCACTCCTCCGCGCATCCCACGCCTCCTCTCCTCACTCCTTTCCCCCCCAAACCCCCTGAGGTAGGGAACAAAAGGAAAAAGTTAAAAAAAACAAAAAAAAAAAAAACCAAAAAAAGGGGAAAAAAAAGGGGGAACAAAAAAAAAAAAAAACCCGAAAAAAGGGGAAGAAAAAAAAAAGGAAAGGAAGAAAAAAGAAAAAAAAAAGGGAAGGGGGGGAAAAAAAAAAAGGGCAGTTAGGGGAAAAAAAAAAAAAAAGAAAATAAAAGGGGGGAAAAAAAAAAAAAAAAAAAAAATTTTGGGGGGAAAGGGGGGGGAAAAAAAAAAAAAAAAATTAGATTTTGGGGGAAGGGGGGGGGGGGGGGAAAAAAGGGAAGGGGAAGGGGAGGGGGGAAAGGGGTGGGGCGAAAAAAGGGTAAAGGGGGGGGGGGCAAAGGGAAAAAAAAAAAAAAAAAACAAAAAAGAAAAAAAAAAAAGAAAAAGGGAAAAAAAAAAAAAAAAAAAAACCCCCCCCCCCCCAAAAAAAAAAAAAAAAGGGGGGGGTTTTAAAAAAAAAAACCCCCCCCCCCCCCAAAAAACCCCCAAAAAAAAAAAAGGGGGGGGGCCCCCCCCCCCCCCCCCCAAAAAAAAAAAAAAAAAAAAAAAAACCCCCCCCCCCCCCCCCCCCCCCCCCCCCCCCCCCCCCCCCCCCGGGGGGGGGGGAAAAAAAAAAACCCCCCCCCCCCCCCCCCCAAAAAAAAAAAACCCCCCCCCCCCCCCCCTTCCCCCTCCCCCTCCCCTTTTCCCTTCCCCCTCCCCCTTTCTCCCCTCCTCCCCCCCCCCCCTTTTCCTCCTTCCCCCCCTTTTCCCTTTCTCCTCTCCCCCTTTCCTCCTTTCCCCCCCTCCTCCTTCCCCTCCTCCCCCCCCTCCTCCTCCTTCTCCTCCCCCCTTCCCTCCTCCTCCCCCCCCTCCCCTTCCCCTTCTCCTCCTCCTCCCCCTCCTCCTCCCTCCTCCTCCTCCTCCCCTTTTCCCTCCTCCCCCCCTTCCCCCTCCTCCTCCCCTCCCCTCCTCCCCCTCCTCCTCCTCCTCCTCCCCTCCTCCCCTCCCCTCCTCCCCCTCCCCCCCCTCCCCCCCCTCCCCCTCCTCCTTTCTCTGGGTTCTCTCTTTCTTTTTTTTTCTTTTTTTTTTCCCCCCCCCCCTTTAAAAATCGCTCTTCTCCTCCCCCTCCCCTTCCTGGGGTCGGTCTGCCCCCTCTCTTCTTTTTATTTCTTATTTTTTTTAAAATTTTTTCCCCCCTTTGCTTTTCTCTTTTCCACCCCTTCCCCAAAATGTGTTTTCCGGGACCCCCTCCAAAAAAATTTTTTTCTCTTTAATTTTAAAAAAATGTCCTCTTGTGGCTCTTTTTAACAGAATAAACAGAAGGATTCAGAAACAAAAACAGACAAAATGTTTTGTAAGAAAAAAAAAGGGGGCAGTTGAATTTTCCCTTTGTTACCCCGTTTAGCTACAAGCCCCTTTTAAAAAATTTTACGCAAAAAGGGGGGCTTTTTTTTTTTTTTAAGGGGAAACTTTATTACACCCCTTTTTCTTTTTTTTTCCCCCTCCCCTCCCCTTTCCCCCTTCCCCTTTTCTCCTCCCCCTTTTCCCCCCCCTTCCCCCTCCCCCTTTCCTCTTTTTTTCCCAAAACCCTCCTCTTTTTTTCCCCTCCCCCCTCTTTTCTCTTTTTCCATTTTTTGGGGGGAAACAATTTCTTATGCCCATGCAAAATTAAACTGAAAAGGCACCCCACGAAGGTCCCGTTTTTTTTTTGGGGGCTTTTTTCCTGAGCCCATCTTTTTGGGGCAACGTTTTCCCCTCTTTTTTTGAAGTCGTTTTTTTTAAAAATAGCGAAACTTCCCTCAAGGTTTTTTTTCTCAAAACTAAGGGGTAAAAGAAAATAATTTTCCAATGTTCAAAGAAAAAAACGGAAACATTTTTAATTTTAAAATAATCATTTCAATTCAAAAAAAAGAAAAAAAAATGGTTCCCCTGAACACCCTAATCCACGGGAAAAAAAAATTTTTTCCCCCA